ATTTTTAAGGTCTTTCCATTTTAAAACTCACCTGAGTCTATATTTCTAAAGTCTAGTTCAACAAGCATTGGCCATGTCCTACACGCACTAGAAATTGTACAAGTCATGTGAAAATGATTCATGGTAGTACTCAAATGCTAAGCAAGCTGTCTGAATTATCACCCAGAAAGCTGAAAAAACACTTCCATACTTTCTTCTGAATGAAGCAATTAGAATTCTAGGTTAGAGCAGGTCGATATGTATAGTAACTAATTTCCAATCATATGATCAAGATTTAAGGTTGCAAAACAAAACTAAATTTAAAAGTAAAATATAAAAGAAAGAAAGGGCTAAGTTGCAAACACCACAGAAGGAAAACGCAGATTGAGATTTAGATTTTAGTCAGAAGATCACTGTTAAATGTGTGATTTAGGAAACAATGAGGGGAGCCATGATTAACTAACTTTCATGGCACAGTTTCTTTTTGTACAGTGTTTCTTCAGTTTATCAGGCATGTGATAAGCCATGGAACAGCCACAGTTCTCCCCAAAATATCAATTGAATCTTGGGAGTGTTGAGTAAAAGAGATAATGGATCTCAAGAACTTGGCCTACAGAAGGCATTAGTATTAGTTGGCTAGGGCCACCCTAACGAAACACCGCTGACTGGGTATCTGGAACAATGGAAATTTATTTTCTCATGATTCTTGAGGTTAGAAATCCAAGATCAGGGTATCAGCAGATTTGGTTTCATCTGAAACCTCTCTCCTTGGCTTGCAGATGGAAAGCCTCTTGTGCCTCTTCATACGCAGTCCTTCTGTTGTACTTCTGGGTTTTTTGTGTGTTCAAATTTCCTCTTCTTATAAGGAAACCAGTCAGTTGGATTAAGGCCCACACTAAAAGCCTCATTTTAACTTAATTATCTCCTTAAATGTCATGTGTCTAAATATAGTAACTGAAAGGTCAACTGAACTATACCCAGAGATGAAACCAGAGAATGGAGAAGTTTAGGTCAGGTTAAATGAAATGGATAGAGACTCACCTGGGCCAAGGTGGCATCCACACAGAGAGTGGTTGGAGACTCCATATATGGGGCTGTAGGGCATGGGAAAATTCCACTGCCTGCTAGAGGATTTGGGTAGACTGGGGTCTTTTGGTGCAGACTTTTGGGGTAGGGATAGCAAGCTCTTTGTGTTCTTTTCTTCCAACTGAGGAGGAGTGTTCGTTCATGTGGGGTGTGTTAAGTCCCCACAGTTGTAGGCTGAGGAACTAAGGGTTAGAGATTCAACATATAAATTGGGGAAGAACACAATTCAGCCCACAATTCATCATTCAAACATTTTAGTTGCTTGGTGTTTTACCCTATTCTTTTCTTTCTCCTTTACCTAACTTGCTGGTGCCGCACAACCCTATACCCACTCCATTCCATTTGTTGCTGAGAGAGATGATCTGCTTTAGTAAATCTGATAACCTAAAAGCTTGTTAGTGAGGATTGATTTGTGTATTGGAGCTTCCCCAATTTGAGGGTAGAAGAGATTGGAGCCCTACCCTAAAGAGAGTGAGTAGGATGGAGATTTCGGCATGCAGCGCAGCTAACAATGTCGATCCTTTCGAACCTGAATATTTGGATAATCCTCAAATCTATCACAGGCACAATTGCTGTTTGAACTATAATCTGTGTGAATTTATGATAATCTGCTTTTTCAGTTTATTTTCTGTTCTACAAAATATAATAATGAATACCATTTTAAACTAACACTTTAAAATTATACCCCTTTTTCTTTCTGGAGAGTGTTTATGATTCATAATTTGTGTGCCCTTCTTTACTTCTCAATTCCAAATTGTTCAAATACATGTCTCTTCTTCTTTTGAGGCCAACCTTAGTGTTGAAAAAAATTTTTTTTCACTGTTTTCTTAAATTCTCCTCAGTGAGAATTCCACCACAAAAACAAACTAACAAAGCAATTCAGAAAATATTAATACAGTATTTCTTGAGTCCACCATTCTTTAGGGTTGTATACTTCTTGGTAAATTATTATCAAGTTTCTGTAATTGATTCTGCTCTCTGTCAGACCCTCCAACCCTTGTAAGCCATCCGCAAGACACTTCTAAACCATACTGTCTGGAAGAAACCCAATAAAAGTAGACCTGACTCAATTAGACAATCCATTTTTAGAATTACCTACAGAAAGCATCATGTCTTTTTCTTTATTTTTCCCTCTCAAAAATGAGTGAAGGTAATGTTTACTGTGTATTTCTAAGTCCATATTTTTGTTTCACTCTGAAAACTTTTCACTTAAAGTTTTACAAAAGGAAAATTACATTATTCCCTTCAAGTTTATTATCAAGAATTAACAAAAATTCTAATAACCGACATAGACCTTTTTCATAAGTTTTGTTAACTAGTAAATGTGAAAGGTTGGATTTTTACTGGATTTTCAATTGCTCTTGTTTTGGTTTAATATGTTGATATTTGCAGGGATGAAGAACCAGGAGGCCAGTTAGTTAATGATAAATTCCATATTGACTGGGATTCCGTACTTGTCGACACAGATAATGTCATTGTAGCAAGATTTGATGGCAGAGGAAGTGGATTCCAGGGTCTGAAAATTTTGCAGGAGATTCATCGAAAGTTAGGTTCAGTAGAAGTAAAGGACCAAATAGCAGCTGTGAAGTAAGTGGGTACACATTTTCCTATTTTTTTTATAATGACAATATCTAGATATACGACATGCAATAGTACTAACCCTGACTCAGTGCTTTCTATTTTAGCTATTGGGCAATTTTCTAAGTTAATTATAGAATGTCTTGCATTTTTTAAAGTGCCTCTCACCCTTAGTACTATAATAACAAAATTCTCGTATTTCACCTCTGGAATTAGATATCACTTTTGATGCATGAAAATAGAAGATACATTAATTATACCACTATATTATCTGTTCATATTAGTCTACAATGTCTACTAATTGCCTAGTTAATTATAATTCTTAAAATTTCACAGATAAAATTACCACACTGACATGAAAATGTAACCTAAGTAAGCTTTCTACAACAGTACATGAAAATTAGATAGAATATTGTTAAAAGGTAGGTACTGATTCAGTGGGCCAGGAAAAGGGCCCATGATTCTGCATTTACAATAAGCTCAGCCAGGCCATCACATCGAGTAGCAGGATTTTGTAATATATAGCCCTTCCACATAAATACAGCCATGTACGTCAATAAAGCATCACTCGTCATTGACTTTTGAGGGTGTTTATGTGTCAAGCATAAATTTACATCTACATTGGACTCAAGAAGATATAACTCTATTTTTTTCTTTTTCATTGCAGGTTTTTACTAAAACAGCCATACATTGACTCCAAAAGATTAAGCATTTTTGGAAAGGTAAATAGTAGAAATGCTAAAACTACCTGTCTGTGCCCCATCCACACAGATATATATGAATTGCATGTACATGGATATGTATATACACACACATACAGCATAACGTTCTTCCTTATACTATAATTTATTTTTACCACCCTTTAAAAGGTAGCAGCATAATTAATATGTGTGTATATATTAGTCACTTGTTAATTCAGCAACTATTGAACATTTAGTTGGTGCATGGTGTTAGAACAGTAACAAAACAAGGTTTTGTTTTCATGGAGTTTATCTTCTCAGGACAGGAAACAGTAAACAGATAGAAAACATAGTTTTATATAGTAATAAGCCTTAAGAAGAAATAAAAATTTGATAGATTGAAGGTACCACAATAGGAGCCCCTGTTATTAGACAGAGAGGTCACGTGGAGCCGGTCTGATGAGGTGATGTTGAAGCTGATAGCTAAAGGACAGAAAGAAGCCATTCAAACAAACCCTCGAGGCAGAGTATCGTCCACAGAAGGAACAGCAAGTACCACAGCCTTAAGAAAGATCAACACAGGCTTAGAAGCTGAAAGGAGACCAATCTGCATAATTTTTATTTCTTCTGTGCTCTCTGCAAAGTATTTATTCTTCATTACAATAACCATTATGGCAGGTTCAACATCATTTTCACAGCAGGGAAATGGATCTCACATAGATATTCATTGAGTATCTAGTGTATACACACCACCGGACAGCTCATTGTAAGGATAATATGATGAAAGAAAGAAGAAGACCTTGAACTATTTTAGTTTGGAAATGAAGCAAATTCTTAGTGTCCATGGATTTAAACATATAATATGTTCCATTATTCATGAGTGAACTCAGAGAGCTCTGACATGAAATAACTGGTAATTTTAACTGGAACGTCCATTTTAATGGGGCAGACTGACAGGTAGGTGCATGAAAAGGCACTTTACAAATGAGTAAGATATAATTAAGTGCAAATCCCCACCGTTCTCCTACCACTTCAAACATCTGCAATACACTAGACCTTTGCAACATTCTGTTCCTGTTGTCAGTAATCTTCACCAGAACAATAAAAATATTTTGTGACTAGTGCTTCTGCAATTGACTGTAAACACCCAAGGTAAAGATTAGTGCAAAAGATTAAAGATAGTCACTAAGAAAGTGATCATCCTAAAGAAATAAAAGGTGTTAGATGCATCAGAAAGTGCATAGTGAAATCCTATCTTGTGCACTAGCATTGAGGAACCTTGAGAACATTGTGCTACGTGAAGTGAACCAGTCACAAAGAAACAAATTCTGTTTGACTCCATTTATATACCATATCCAGTGTGCTCACATTCACAGAGACAGAGTGAAATGGTGGTTGCCGAGGTTTGGGAGGAAAGAGAAAAGAGGGAGTGATTTCATGGGTGTGCAGGACATCTGTCCTACAACAACCTGATTTTATACTTGACACAACTGAACAGTGAACTTAAACATGGCTAAATGATATGTTATTGCCCCTCCCACAAAAATGTTTATATGGTGACCGCTTTATTCCTTAATGGTCCTGATTTATGTAATAATTTACAAAGGACTCAGGGCTTCCATATTTCAGGGTTCTACTTACTATGTTTGTAAATGTACATAAAGGACCCAATGAATTATACAGTCATGAAAATTTAGAGAACACCCAAAAAGTTGTAAAATGCCTCATGGAGAAATGGGACATGAACTGGATGATGAGAATCATTAAATAGGTAGAGGGGAAGTCAAGAGTCTTGTGTAAATGTACAGTGTCAGGAAGGAGAGTGTGTTTAGAGAATACAAAGTAAAGTAATTGATCATAACTAAGACTCGCATGGGGGATGGCAGTGAGAATGGGGGAAAGGCTGAGCACAGACATGAGAGGATACTCCATAGCAACTAAGAAATTTGGAGTTTAGCCTATAAATCATGGGAGAATAAGATTCTGGGTCTCAGATTCAGAAGTTCAGAATCTCACATTGTGTCACCCTATCATGATTTTGGGAATTCATGAGCCTCCAGGCAATGACTCTAGAAATCTAACAAACAAGAGGTGACATAGGATATAAACAAGTGTAAATATAAATGGAAAAAGTTTCTATTTCAATTAAAACCAGCGTGCATATCTGTGGTTAAATTATAAACTAAAAATTGGCTTTCTGAGGATATGAAAGAACACTGTTACCCTTAAGATTTAGTAGAACTTGGGTGGCACCTATGGCTCTGTGGGTAGGGCACTGGCCACATATACTGAGGGTGACAGATTCAAACCCGGCCCTGGGCAGCTAAAACAGCAGTGGCAACTGCAACAAAAATAGTCAGGTGTTGTGGCGGGCGCCTGTAGTCCCAGCTACTTGGGAGGCTGAGGCAAGAGAATCGCTTAAGCCCAAGAGCTAGAGGTTGCTGT